GCGGCCGCGGCGCCGACGGCGCGCCCCGGAGGAAGCCGAGCCGCGCCGCCGTCGGGCAGGTCGCGGCGGCGAGCGCGTAGGCGCACTCCGGCCGGCCGCTCGCGGCGAGGAACGCGCGCGCGGGCGCCGCGCCGAGCGGCAGCGAGCACGCCGACCGCCACGCGGCCTCGCGCCACTCGTCGAGGCCGCCGCCCGCGAGCGCCACCGCCTCCGCGTCCAGCGCCCGCGCGCCCGCGGCGGCGGCCGCGTCCCAGAGCTCGGGCAGCGACTCGCAGGCCGCCGCCGCCTTTTCGAAGGCCGCGAGGCCCGCGCGGACGAGCTCGTGGGATCTCGCGCCGCCGCCGCCGACGGCCCCGCGCGCCGCGGCGACGTCGAAGGTCCGGCCGCCGGCGGCCACGCGCAGCGCGAGCGGCGGGCCCCGGTCGCCGTCGGCCCGGAGCGCCGCGTACCACGCGCGGCGGTCCGCCGCGCGCGGCGCCAGAGTCGCGCGCGCGCGGCCGCCGTCGACCGTTTCGCCGCCGGCGGACGCGAGCTCGAGGCCGAGCAGCGACGCGGCCAGCGCCGGCACGCGGCCCGCGCCGTCGAGCGCGACGACGACGTCGAGGCCCAGGCCCCGGGCGCAGCGCCGGAGCGCGTCCTCGCCGTCGCCGCTATCGACCCAGACGTCGGCGACGGCCGATTCCGCCTCCGGCGGCGCCGCGACGAGCACGGTCGGCGTCCACGCGGCGTCCGGCGCCGGCCGCGCGCGCGCCTCGTAGAGCCGGGCCCCGCGCGGCGCCGCGGCGCCGGGGTCGCGCGGGTCGACGGCGGACCGGACCCAGCCGGCCGTCGGCGCGCCCGTCGCCACGGGCCGCGTCTCGATGTCGACGGAGTCGAGGCCCTCGGCGCCGACGAGGGCCAGCGCGCCGCCGTCGACGACGAGCGCGAAGGGCGCGGCCTCCGGCCCGTCGTCGAAGTCGGCGTCGCCGCCGTCGTCGAAGTCGGCGTCGCCGCCGTCGTCGAAGTCGGCGTCGCCGCCGTCGTCGAAGTCGAAGCCGCCGGGGTCCTCGTCGGCCGGCGCCGCGGGCTCCTCCGCCTCCTCGACGGCGTCCTCGACGACGTCGGCCGCCTCCTCGACGACGTCCTCCTCGACGGCCGCGTCGAAGAACGCCTCGGGGACCTCCGCCGCGGGCCGCGTCGCCGCGACGACGACGGCCGGGGCCTCGCCCACGGAGTTGGACGCGACGACGCGCGCCGTCGCCTCGGCCCCGGGCTCGTAGGCGCCGAGCCGGAGCTCGAGCGTCGGCGCGCTCCGGCCGTTGGCCTCCGCCGACGCGGCGGCCCGGCCGTCGTCCGCGGCGACGGCGAGGCGGCCGTCGTTCCACGGCCGCGCGCGCCTCCCCCGGACCTTGACGCGGACGACGAAGACGTCGCCGTCGAAGCCCGCGGCGCAGCGCGGCGCCTCCGGCGGCGCCGGCGCCGGCGTTACTTCGTGCGATGCAACGACCGTGCCGTTGCCGTCGCGCAGCCGGAGGACGACGGCGCCGCGCGGCGCCCGACTCAGGCGGCCGGCGAAGCGGAGCGCCAGGGGGCGGTCCGCCGTCGGCGACGCGCCCGGCGGCGGCGCGGCGCCCGTCCGGTCGAGGCGCGCCGACGGCTTCGTCCGCGCCGGCGCCGCCCAGGGCGGAGAAACGGCCTCCGCGTCCACCGCCAGGGCCGCGAGGACCGCGGCCGGCACCGGGCCGCGCGCCGCGACGTCGGCGGCGACCGCGTCGCCCTCGACGGCGCCGCCGACGACGGCGAGCGCGTGGCGCCAGCGGCAGAGGTCGTGAGCAGCGCGCGCGCGGGCACGCGCGCGCCCGCCGGCGGCGCGCC